CAGATAAGTCCACAGAAATCACAGAACAAAGAGAAGTTGCATGATGGCTATCGGAGCTGAAGTACCTTGAGTTCAACATCCCTTGAAACGACTAAACCCTTTTTTCAAGTTGTTGCCTGGCATATTCTTTTGTAGTTTGTTCATCGTCCATTTCCCAAGAATTTTGGGGTGACTGAATATGACTATAAATATATTTTTTTTTCCCTCAAGGGCAGTGGCATTTTCAGGGAAGAACTTGACAAGTTCAACTCCACGAGTGCAACCATGCATGGTAGCCAGATAACATCTGAACACTTTCTCAAGTTTTATGGAGTAGTAGCTTTTTCTTTAACTTTCTGCCTTTCCGATCTCTTTGATTTCATGTGCCCATCTCAACTGTAACTTGTAAAACAGATAATGCGCACGGGGCGGCCAGAAATGTTGTTGACCGACTCTATTTATTTAAGAGTAAAATATCAAAAAACTCCTTATAGTTTGTTAAATGTTTAATTTAACTCCATTGATTTGGAAACCTACAGCATAGCTCTTTATGATTTCAATTAAATTAAAAATTGGATGTAAAACATCCAATCTAACAGTTATACGTGAAATGTCAATATTGCCCATACATAAATGAACTCCCTATGGTTTGTCCAATATTCAATTTAACTCCCACTAGTTTGAAAAACTACACTATAACTCCCTGTAGTTTCGACTAAATTGAAAATTGAATTGAAAACATCTCATGTATGGTAGAGGCAATATTGACATTTCATATATAACCATAAGATTGAATGCTTTCTGTCCAATTTTCAATTTAGTCGAAACTATAAGGAGTTATAGTATAGGTTTCCTAATCAGAGGGAGTTAAATTGAACATTTGTCAATTCATAGGGAATTTTTTTGGTATATTACCCTTTACTTTAAGAATCTCGCTTATTGCCAAAAATCAAAGGAAAAATTACTGACACAAACCCAGATTATCTGACTATTCCTTCCCACAAATAAAAAGTAAACGGTTCCAAAACATAAAAAAGAAAAGGAAATGGTTATCTCTTTCTCTAATAATTAAGAATACGCAAAAAAAAAAGAACGTAAAATTGAGTCTATGGAATTAAACTTTTATTTTAGGCAATTTAGTCCTAAAGTTTTATTCTTATTAATTGAGTGATGCAGTTGTTTGACCAAAACATGATTATTTTCGGCACTAGCAAGGGCCAATTTCAAAAAGCAATCACGTCTTTAAGTTGATCATCTTCACCATTTATTCAACGAGTATGTTTTGTTTTTGACGAATAAGTGACATCATTGATCAAACAAACAAGTTGACCATATTGATCATTTGTGTGATATATATATATATACTAGTTTTTTCAGCCTCACGCAATGCGTGAAGATGCCCTGGGTCTATGTTAATCAAGATCAAATGAAGGCAAATGAATTAATGTAAAATGGTTATATATTCAATACATGATAGGTGTTAATAAATGGGGAGAATTTGACTTTAGGTAAATTGAATATTGTTGTTACTCGTTTACTCATTTGATTTGTAATTTTCTCTTAGATAGTCAAGTCTTTGGCTTAAGATCTTTGCGAATTCTTGATATTATAACTAAATGATGCATTCATTTAAAATGTACAAGTACATACATATATCATAAACCGCCAAATCCAGGTCTTCAATTGGAGAAAGAAACACATCCAATATGTTGCTTTTCAGATGGCTTTCTCTCAAAATTACATAGGCAATACAGCTTTGTGCGGCTCCCACAGACCCCTTCGGACACCACCCACTGCCCACTCACCAGTGGAGCTCAAGCAACTACAACTATACGATGAAGATACAAATACACGTCTGAACTCTGAAGCACAAACACAAAAGCCCCCAAAGTTGACCAAGCACACAATTGAAGCACAAATGCAAAAGCCACCGAAGTTGCCCATAATTTAGGTGGTGGATCTATTTTACAAATGGGGTAACAAACTCGTGTCTAAAATCCAAAAATAAGTATTTATAGAATCGTTTTTTCATGCTTGAAAGAAAAATTGGAACTACTGTGAAAGTTTAAAAATTATAATCCATTTCTTAAATTGCATATTTTTTTTATGAAGAAAGTTTATCCTTTTGCAAAAAAAAAAAAAAAAAGTTTACACAGCCACGGGATACCTTCATATTTTTAGTAACAAACTCGTGTTTAAAATCCGAAAATATGTATTTATAGAATCATTTTTTCATGCTCGAAAGAAAAATTGGGACTACTGTAAAAGTTTAAAAACTATAATCCATTTCTTAAATTGCATATTTTTTTATGAAGAAAGTTTATCCTTTTGCAAAAAAAAAAAAAAAGAAAAAATGTTTACATGGCCACGGGATTCCTTCATATATTTTTTTAATTTTTTTTTCCAAAACAGGAGGACCCTCTTGTTTATATTGACAGTATACATTTTCACATTTTAATGCATATTATTTAATCCAAATTTGAATTCTAATATCAACTTTTGTATATATGACATGTATCCAAAAATGATAGTGAGTGTGTTTGGATTGAAATGATTTGAAAAAAATAATTTGCTTCACAAATTCCAATCACCTTTTTATCTCACATATATCACATCATAAAATATGCTACAGTAATTATCTCAAATAAACTCCTATCCAAATAAACTCAGTGTATACTGTATATTCTGAAACTCTTGGTTGAAATGTAAGATAATTAAAGAATATTTCGTAAAGCTACATATGCAAAACAGTGGAAATGTAAGATGCTGCTTTCAACGTGAATCAAACACAAAGATGCCAAGTTTCATCGTTCTATTGCAGCAAGAAAAGTTTGCTTGCATGATATAGCACTATTAATGCCTTACACGAAGAGAACTAAAGAGGATAATAATGGATATGCCATATTATATCTAAAAGTTGAAGCACTCAAAACTGGTCCAACTTCCACCATACATACACCCAAACCCTAAGAAAACAAATCGAATGTTCCAATTTCTAGGTTTCAATTTTTATAGCAAGCCTAATTAAGAATATAAACAAAAATTAAAACTTTGAATGAAGAAAATACGAATAAAAGTATCTAAAGCTAAAGGTTGGGTAGTACATTACTTTTCTGAAATTTCTTATCAAGAATTAGTTCAAACATGTTCAATAATTCTTTTCTCGTTATACATAATAGTGATTAAGGCACACTCAGATGTGTGTATAACTAATTAGAATAAAAATATTTGTAATAATAATTCTCTTATAAAAGTGAAGTATTATAGGGGAAACAAGTGCATGGGCTTAATTTCGGTGATGTTAATAAAGAAAAATTGAAGAAATGTGTGTCAAATATAGTAGATAAACATGGAGAAATTGAACGTAAAAATACGGGAAGATTCGAAGTTATAGTAAAATTGTTGTTTTATTATTTTGTTAGAGAATAAATCCATTTTATCCTTTATAATAAAGGCAAAAAAAATAAAAAGAAGAAGAAAGAACTAACAATACAACACCGTAAAGGGCATCAAGCTTTATATATGGCACATATATGCTTCCTAAAAAATACCACCGGAGGGAGAGGGGAAAGAATTCTAGCGTCTGAACTCTGGAGCAAGAGGGCAAGCCCAAACAAATTCCTATGAAATGCCATTGGAATTGTTGAAATTTACAGCATAACCAGTCTATCTGCCTATGCAAAAGCCACTGAAGTTGCTCAAAATTACCGGATAACCGGTCCATGAGCACTGTAGCAACTCCAACTCGCGCTTTTAGTATTATAAAAGTGAAGTATTATAGGGGAAACAAGTGCATGGGCTTAATTTCGGTGATGTTAATAAAGAAAAATTGAAGAAATGTGTGTCAAATATAGTAGATAAACATGGAGAAATTGAACGTAAAAATGCGGGAAGATTCGAAGTTATAGTAAAATTGTTGTTTTATTATTTTGTTAGAGAATAAATCCATTTTATCCTTTATAATAAAGGCAAAAAAAATAAAAAGAAGAAGAAAGAACTAACAATACAACACCGTAAAGGGCATCAAGCTTTATATATGGCACATATATGCTTCCTAAAAAATACCACCGGAGGGAGAGGGGAAAGAATTCTAGTGTCTGAACTCTGGAGCAAGAGGGCAAGCCCAAACAAATTCCTATGAAATGCCATTGGAATTGTCGAAATTTACAGCATAACCAGTCTATCTGCCTATGCAAAAGCCACTGAAGTTGCTCAAAATTACCGGATAACCGGTCCATGAGCACTGTAGCAACTCCAACTCGCGCTTTTAGTACAGTAAGGATATATATATCTCTGTGTGTGTGTGTGAAACCACATCCTCATATGTAAAAAAATATATGTAACTTTTTTTATTTTCTTAACAATTGTGTACATTTGAATGAGTATGTGTGTACATCTTCGTTGTTAATATAGTACAAACGATTACAAGTGCGTGAGTTTGACAAGCAGAGTAGGCAAAGTAATTGTCTTTTTTCTTGCTATTTTAGATTTATAGAGAGGCATCAAAATGGGGAGGAACAATAACCAATTACCAATGTAACAATCCCTAAAATTAAAGTTAGCAGTTCCTTAATCCCAGCTTGTCACAACATCAAAACGTCCGTCTCATTAGTTATTGGGCCGTTGTAATCAAAATACAAGCAGCTAAAAAGCCTAAGCTGTCCATGCCGTCTCGGTTGCTCTTTTACTGGATATGGGCCCAACCATTTTTCGTTCTTTAATCACATGAAAAGGGGTATAATTACTTGACGGTGTGATTCTACAGAGCAAATCTCATCAATTTGTTTCTTGAGGCTCTTGAAAGAAAAGAAACAAGTTATTCTAAATATTATTATTTCAAATAATATTTTACTTGAATCGCAAATACAATTTTCAATCAACTTTTTTTTTAAATCTTTTTAACCATTCTTTTATCTCACATCTTCAAATAATCTTTTCTATCCCGACACTAAATTTATTAAATAGAAGGGAAACGATAAATTAGAAGTAGTAGTAGTATTATGATGAACTAGGCTATTATTTTTTACAAAAGAAAGAACTCAAATATCGGAGAACAAGAAGTGATCTGAGATCTCTAGCTATTACTTACATTCTACATAGGAATACTATCCCGTGCCATATTGCAATCTAGATTTTGTAATGGTTTACATAGTAGACATTTTATATATAATATATATACTACAAAAAAAGAAAAAAAAAAAGCAAGGAAGTATGAATACGTTGAGTTGGTGTGATTTTACAAGTCAAAGATTTTGGTGGCAAGTCCCCCCACCGAGCTGATCCACCAGCTCTCCCAACAATTCCTCAAAAATTTGTATCTCGAATTCTCCACTGATCTCTCTGTAGCCTTCAAACTTCTGAATCTCCTTGCTCAGTGGTATCCAATTCGACCGAATCGTGTCTTTTTCTGCCAATTCGCAAATTTCACCCCACATGTTGGCAGAATTATTCTGCCTTCCACGATCATTCTTCCTCAACTCAACGCATTTGCCTTCGCTGCGAGTCCTAGATTTACCAGAAGCATTGCTTGTCAAACTCTTATCAACGTACTGATGATTCAGCTTCCTATAATTCTCGAGTTCTTCTGTTAAAGTCCTCCTTGACTTTGAATTCGTCAATCGTGAGAGCCCCTCTGTCGCAACATATTCAAAACTCAGCCAGAGAGCAATGAAGTTCACTAAAGTTATACTACTATAGTTAATATTGAAAGAAAAATCGAATTTAGAAGAAAAAAATGTGAAGCTAGGGGTATAAGAAGCAAACCTGAGCTCGTAACTTCTGGATCACATGGGAATTTCACGATATCCAAAACAGAATTTGGGCTGGAATTTTCAGAATCAGAGCAATCTGATTCTACTTTCTTTACTGGCAAGCAATCATCTTTTCTCTTCTTCATCCTTCTTCTCCTTCCTAATTCATTCTCAGGTTTGCGGTTTATGGGCTTTGCCCTGTTTTCGACTTCCTTCCCCTCAAATGAATTTTGGGAAGAACTAATACTCAGTGGACGAATACCGTCGCTCATTACTTCAGAAACAGCTCTTTGAGAAGCCTTCCTAGAATCCGTCGTCCGCTCTTGCTTCTCATTATTTAAAACATTCATGGGATCTTGATTTTCTTTATTCTTTTCATAAACATTCTCCCTGCTCCTCGTACTATTCTGGGATTTATCGTTTGCTCCTCTGCCTCTTTGCTTCTTCTGCTTCGAACCCGTCTCCGATTTCCTACTTTCACCTACAATATTCTCAAAGCTAAGAACAAAAAAATCCTCATCTTCTAGCTCAAGAAATGTGGGAGCAGTCTCCCTGAAGCTCTTCACGCGTCTATGCCTCCCCTGAATTGACACAAGCTCCTTCATCAAATCCACAGAATTCATCGACCGGCTACGTGCAATTGAACTCGGACTTTTTTCAGCGGCAGAAAAATCGGTCTGAGGCAGCAATGATTCTAAACCCATTAGCCTTGCCACGATGCACGGTGTGGCGGAGGACTCAGCCCTCTCCTCTGCACTTACAGTACTAGTACATTGTAGCCTGTCAAGCTCCACGGAGACAGAGTCGTGGTCGGTGTCTTTGAAGTGATCAGAGGGGTGCGTGGGAAGGCTTTTAAGGCAAAGAAGTCGGCGGAAGACCCCGGCAATGCACCCAGCTGGGGAGCTCCTGGAATTGTGGACATTGCCACCGAAAGAAGTGGAGGCAGTGGTGGAGGTGATGGTCGAGGAGGCGGTGGATGAAGAGGAAGTCAAGAACTTCATGTTCTTGATCAAGTGGAAGGGCTCTTTTGTGTTTGAATGAGAAGTACGAGAAAAAAGAAGAAAGAAAAAGTCAGTTTGAGAGTTGAATTATTTGGAGTTGGAACTGGCAAAGAGAACAGTGAATGCGAGGAAAAGCGAATGGAGAAAAGCTAAGATAGATTTGAATGTTGGGAGGGATGGGAGACAGTGAAGCGGTGGTGGCGGGCTTTACATTTGAATCTAAAGGGCATTGTATATTGTAATGTAATGTAAGCAGTTTGATGGAGAAAGGAAGGAAGTTATGTTCCCACGCGCTACGAGCAGTCAATTTGTGCAATTTGTCTTATCCGAATTGGCTCCATCAAATGGTGTGTACCGCTAACGACTGAGCATGCCTACCTTGGCAATCAGTCATAGCATCTGTCGAACAAAGGCTGCATAGAGTGGAGTTTTGGTCTGAAATCCGAATGGACTCTAAGAGATCATGCTGCTACTATTAGATCATGATTAGATTTGGCTTGCATTGCTCTCAATGGGATAGAATCAAGTGAGATGCAGTGTAATGATGAATAGAATTTGTTGGCATTTACGACCAAGAATCATTGGATAATCTCGAAACAAGTGCTGGTGCAACTAATTAAGACAATCTATAGGATTGTTCAGGTTGATGCTTTTCTTGCAATGTATCTAATTAATGTCTATAAACCAAATGGTCGAATTAGAAACGTTTTCGCTGGTAAAACGCTTTCTTCTTTCCATGCGTGCAGGTGAATGTGGGAGGATGAGGTCAAGAGAGAGGACTGTAGAAGGCGGAATAGAGAGTCAAGATGGTGAGAGTGGAAAGGGCAGAGTGGGTGAAAATTGTCAGGGAGGACAATAGTGAGTGGGGGAAAAATTCTTTTTGGGTATTGGGAGGTGGGGTTTGCTGATCGATCAGCCGAAGAAACTGACCTTGCCTGCTTGGACTTTCAACTATGCCTGTACAGTGTACACACACTGCCAAGCGCCAACTACTTTTTTGTATATTCAATTTTTGTTTCGGTCCCCGTGGCCGTGTTAGCAAACAATTTAATGCCAAAGGGTCCTTAAAAAGTGAATCCTTCAATCACCCACCCTGCCTTCAGACTTCAATTCTCTGTTTTTCTTGTTCCCCTTTTCTACTTCATGCTTCCCATTTCCAGCTTCCAGTTCCAGGTTCAGAAGAATTTGCAGATTGCGGAGTCCGAAAAGATTCTTTGGATTCGAACTGGGTTTCCTTTTCCTTAACTTGTTACTACTACTATTATTCAAAGTGCTAGTAGATAGCACGCACAACCCTTTGGGCCACCTCAATGAAAATTCTGCATTTTTTCCTTCGTACTTGAAGATGGAAGTTAAAGTGAAGCATGTTCTCAATTGAAAGCTGTTCTTCATGTTTTACACCCAACCAATGTAGATAGATATTATTGTTGGGGAGTTATCAATATGCAAGGCATGTAGTAGCAGCATAAATTGAAGATGGGCTGGCATCGGTAGTACTACGATGTAACCAACAAGTTAATTTGGTTTTTTTTTTTACACTGTAACGATAATATTTTTATAATTTAATCAATCCTAATTTAGGAGACATTTCTATAATCTAATCTATCTTAATTTAGAAAAAGGGCAGAACCTTCTTTAAATTTTTTTCATTACAAGTGAAGATCGAACCCTTGACCTACAATCCAACGAGGGACTTAGTCCCGTTTTAGTGGATGCTCAATGGTTAGTTAACTTGGTTCAATTGGCTAGGATTTGCATTAAAGACCTTTTTTGGGCACTATGAGACTTTCTTGCTGGTAGGTTAAGAATTTGAATTCCCGTCCAGGGAGGCAGTAATTAAATTTATATTTGGGCTACCATGGGCCCAGAGTTAAGTACCTTAATAGTACTCGACACCCTCTACTTTAAAAAAGAAAAAAAGAAAAAAAAAGGCGGCTCTATCTAGTGTGGCCTCTGGGCCTAGAGTAAAGACTTGATGTGCTCTACTTTCTCGTCTCCAATCACTAGGCTCAAACCAGTGGCCATTACGAGACAAGTATAGTGCTTTCTTTTCCCGTCAAAACAAAAAAAAAAAAAAAAGTATTTATTAGAGAAGTAGGCTCCGTTTAACTGTTTTTATTCTAAAAGCTAAAAATTGTAGCGCACTTTAAAGTTATTTGGTGTAAAAGTGAGTTTTCTCCCTCAGTCCCTCAATAGTGTAGTTAGAAAATATTACAAAAATTTCTCTCTCTCTTTTTCCCCCTATTTATGGGATACTTGCACTTTGCACTTCTTTTCGGAAAGATTTATTTTAGTCGAAATTGAGTGAATTGTGAATATGGTCTTGGCATTTTTTTTCCCCTCCCCTCAAAGCAGCACAAAACGAGTAATAGAATAGAATAATGGAACACACAAAGATGCTGCCTTGGTGCAAAACTGGACGTGATACACAAACAAAACAAAGCTGCTGAAAAGAATGGCAAAGTTGTGTCTTAAAACGTGTTGGATAAAACAGGAACAAAATTTAGCTTCTTTAGCTCGATTTAATTCAAATTTCAATGTCTCAAAAATGGGTAGTATTACATCTTCAATGGAATTAAAACACCAAACTGGCAAACTTTAGTTCCAACTTCTAATGAACAGATGCAAGTTGTACTTATCAACTATACTATAGTCTAGTATAACATTATCATAAAAAGCTGCTGAATTGTCGAGCCATCAGGACCAGAAGTTGGCTCCGAACAGATTGTGAATGGCTTTAAAGCCTTGTATTATTTCTCTGGTCTGCAACTCGTAGACTCCGTGGGATTGGGGGGGTTACTGATCCTTGCTCTTATGATGGGATCCGTTGAGATTTGGGTCGGTCTGGTAATACACGATGTCTCCTGTGTTGCTAACGTAGTGATCTTGACTGATACTTCTGACCAGATTTTCAATCAAGTGCAATGGAATTGGCCCAGATTTTCTGGGCTCTCGATAGTACTTGCCTAGGACTGGCTTAGCTGCCCTTGTCTGCGTCCAGACAAAAAAAAAAGAAAACAAACCAGAATATGACAATCTACCATTTAAGTAATTGATTAAGGACAATCACGAGAACGAATAAGGAGGGGGGGGGGGGGGGCTAAATTTTGAGTCATTACCGCCTCTACTAGATGATAATGTGGGATCTGAGGAAAGAGATGGTGTATAACGTGGGTGCCAATGTCGTGATGAATGTTGTTAAACAATCCGTAATCACGATCAACCGTGGTAAGGCCGCCTCTCAGGTAACTCCATTCCTGCTCCAAGGCAGCAAAAGACATTAGTAGTATTAATTTGAATGCCAACCTTGGTGGTGGGCTTTGAATTAGTTTTGCTGACAAAGTTGCAAAAAAAAAGAAAAGAATGCAGCATGGTCCCTCGAGTCCTCAACCTGGTCCATGTCATTTGTCATTTTAATTTTGAGCCGTGAAATCAATAACAACGTTCTGGTACAATTTCAGTGAGATTAGTACCGTTCTGGAACAAAAGTAAACAGCAGGCCCCAACAAGGACAGAGACAACAGAAAAAAGTGTCCCAGTTTATTTAGAATTAGATTACCTGGCCACGGTACCAGGGAAGTTTCTGTTCATAGCCATGGTGGTGCAAGTATGTAACAAAGTCCAACCACATGACGAATACCTGAAAGTAATTCAAATTGCGATTACATATTATTATGAATTAGGAGAGATCTCAAAACAGAAAGTAATAATGTGAGTTACCAAGTAGGGAATGCCATAGATCTTAAGCATTTGCATGACACCAAACACTGCTGATAGGCAGAAGAGGGAAACAAGCATCAGAGTCCAACAGACGGTTGATGTTACCACGTACTTCCTGTCACTGGGTTGGAACAAATCGCTGTATGGGTCGAAGTGAGAACCCGTTTTCCCTGGACTCCTGCTCCACTGTTACATAATTCCATTGCAATACAACGAGTTAATGCCACATCTAGGAGCAGTAAAGTTTCTGAACTGGGAAGTCTTAATAGTATATCTTACCAGGTATAGTGGATATGCAAACATCGGAAAAGGGATCTTGTAACGCATGAACTTAGTAGAGTAATCCAGATTCTTGTACGTCTTCTCCGGCAACTGAAACAAGGAAAGCAATTCAACAGCTGGTTCAGACTGATGGAGTTCTATCGTTTCCGGATATGGCATGTCATAAATCGGAAACTAAAAAACTGGAATTAGAAGGACAAGTCACTGAAACCATCGGGAGTGGTTCGATGCTTGCTCCTATAGTAGAGAAGGCGTGGCTCCCAATCGTCTCCTCCAGTTGTCGGGAAAAGGAGTGGGGGAACAATAAAACTGAAAGCCCATATTATTCGAAGAAAAAATGTCCGTAGAGGGCTTAAGGTAGAATATGAGGTTAGGAAAATTACCGGCACCCATGACTCATCTTTTTCAACATTTCCGTGGTTTTGATGATGAGTTCTGTGGCTGATTCTCCTGCAGATAGTGATTCAGGTCACATTGTGTGGAGTTGAATTTTTTTTTTTTTTTTTGGGTGGAGCCTAGCTCCAAGAAGAGAGTTTTTTTGAGGAACTAACCATCCATGGTAAGGGACAAGAATAGATGAATGCAGGATGTGTCCCACAAAACCGTTTAACGTTGGGTTGTTGGAAAAACTCCCATGCCCGCTGCAGTTCCAAGAAATTGGAGATTTGATTTAATTATCGCAGACCAAAACAAAGAAAAGAAAAGGAAAAATGGTGGTGATCAACTGGTGGGTGAAGAGATTGCAGTAGTTACCAATCATGGCCAAGAACAAAGATTGCCCAAAACATTGTTCCCTGAGCAGCCCAATAAACTGGCCAAACCATCCAATTGTCAAAGTGAAGTGCCAGTGCTATTAATCCAACCACTACAACAAGGTCTCGAGCAACATAACTCAGAGACCTCCATGGATTCTTTACCCAGCAATGCTCAGGAATGGCCGCTCGAATGTCAGCAATCTTAAAAGGAGGCGATGCGCTTGGATCAAAATCAACTTCATCCATGTCTTTGCTAATGATACCGCTGCTGCTGTTCACCGGTCTCTCTGTCTCCTCGCACTCTCCCACCAATGCCCTACCAGGTTTAGTATTTTCAACTTGGCCCTTTTTGTCTGCCGAAAGCGGCGAAAGGGAGTGACCCAAATCTGTAAAAAGGTCGGTGAGCAAGAAAACCAACTTGAGAAGCGAAAAAGAGATTCTTGAAAGGGAATCAATCACTTTCTGCTCAAGTATGAATCTTGAATTCTAAAAAAAAAAAAAAAAAAAAAGGGTTCAAATACGGTTACAATATTTTAGACTCTAGCACGACTACCAAGGGGGGGTGGGGTGGGGATCTTATGCACAGAGAGCATCGGCAACAGCAAATGCCAGATGGGTTCATTTTCAAGTGTGAGGAACTTGCTGCAAGTATATGTTAGTAATTACTTGTACTATTGTCTGTCGCCCGAAAATTTAAAGGCATTTTCACGCGGGTATCT